TTCTCATTGGAAATTTAACATGTTTGGGCCAAAAGTTCTATAATATAACTGCTCAGGAGACTCATTGGTGGGGATCCCCAAATCACATAGAGCCAAAGCCCCAACCCTTGTCAAGTTTTCCCAATCTCTGACAAGTCCGGAATGATGTCAATGTAAAGATCTAGTGGTGGGCCCCGGAAGGATTGTTTTAGATATGTGGAAAGACTGCTTCTATAAAACTGCCCCGACATTGGGCTGGATCTTGTGTACAAGGGACTATCTGCCCCACCTTCTTCCTACTCCCACTAGCTAGGAGAGAGCATTTAGGAGTCCCAGTGTATGAGGACTGGGGAGGCCAGAGTAAAAGACATGGCATAGCCCTACAGAGAGGTGACTGGAATGATGATCAATGGCCCCTTGAAAGAATAACCCATGATTATGTCCTGCCACCTGGGCAGAAGATGGGTCCTGGGGATATCATACCCCTATTTACATGCTAAACTGCATCATTACATTACAGGCTGTTGAGATTATAATTAATGAAACTGCAAGGGCTCTCAATATCCTGGCCAAATAACATACTCAAATGCCAATGCTATCTACCAAAACTACCTAGCCCTACATTATTTACTTGCTTCCGAAGGTGGAGTTTGTAGAAAATTCATTCTAAGTAACTGTTGTTTACAAATGAAAGAAAGGTCACAGAAGAAATTACTGATCAAATGAAAAAAGTCACCCATGCTCCAGTCCAAACCTGGAAAGGCTGGGATCCTGGAGATTTGTTTGAAAGATGGTTTTCAATTTTTGGTGAATTCAAACCCCCCCATAGGCACAGTGCTTGTAATGTTAGGGTCCTGATTTCACCTTGTCTTGTGCCACTGTTTACGAAAACTGACTGTAGCCTAACAGAGACCCTAGCTGAGAGAAAAACTGCTACACAGTCATGATGCTGTAGAAATACAAGTCCTAGACCAAGATGATGCTCTCTGACCCAGAAGGTTTCAGAGCATCAAAGCGGGGAATGTGGCAGAGGCCTTGTCTTTTAATTAGACTTGTTTCTGACATGATAAAAGCCATAGTAGAAGCCTTCCCAAGGTCAGAAGAAGAGGGGAGGATCCTGTGTTGGGAATAAAATGTAGTTGTTATCTGCTTGCCTATGAATGTTTCAACTGTAGTTCCTATCAGCTTATATGTAACCATTTCAGGTTCCGCTTGTTAGTACACAGCAATGATGTTAACTTTGCTGGGCAGTTATGGCTCAGCATGTGTGCAGAGGATATTATCAACAACTACATACCCATGTGCATTACTGTACCAATTCCTGTGGCTGCCAAGTAGCATTAGAATATCCAATCAAATGTAGGTATGTAACAATATAAGGAAGAAAAAGAGGGTAAAACCATACATAAGGGAAACCCTTTGTTTGGCGCTCAAGCTTTTGGATAAGAAATTCCACCTGGGCCTTATGCTGGCATAATAAGACTGCTTCCTGTTAAAGGGCCTTGGTGTCTTGTCTTGGTCCATGAATCTTGCTACAGACCATCAAAATCCAAGCATTCTCCCTTACTGTAATGGTCAGGAGAGCTTTCTAGTCACTAGGAATTTGGTAGAATGGACTAAATTTTGGAAAGCAAAGAGGCCAGGACTCAGGGTTTATGAAAAACTTCAAGTTGTATCTTGTTCCATCTGATCAGATTTTTCAGCTTGGAACCCTATAAAACTGAGACTGGATCCTTTCTTCAATTTCTCCCCATGTTCTAAATCTACTCATTCTGGGTAGTTGCACCACATGGAGAGAAAGGGGACCCGGGAGAAGGAAAGATTTGGGTTAGAATCTTGTTTCAGCTAGTCACGCCACTGAATAGACATTGAGTGCATATATTGTGCCAGCTGCTGTGCTGGCTGCTGCTACAACAGTGAATAAAAACAAGGAAGGTTCCTACTCTCATGGAGTGAATAACCCATGAGGAAATTAGATAATCACACAAATAAATGTCAAATTGCACTCAGCTGACAGGTGCATGGGTGGGAGGGGGACGGAATGTTATTCAGGGAAAGTGGGGCTTCATGTGAGAGTTAAAGGATGAAGAGCTACTAGACTAAAAGAAGAAAGAACATTCCAGATTGAGGGGACACAACATGTTCCAGACTGAAAGCAGGTCACTGTGGCTGGGGGATGAAGGTGGGAGAACAGGACTGCATGAATGTGCGACACAGTGAGGGGACAAACAGGCAGGACTTGGCATTAGCAGTAAGAAAGGCTTCCAGCTGGGAGAGCAGATAATTCTACCAGATTAACCCTACTGCTTAAACTCCTAAGGTGCTCTGTGTGTTTCCTCTTATAATAGTCTGGAGGTAGGAGCAATTTGTTTAGCAATTCAGTGATGTCAGAGCCAGCATGAGGCACCTTTTCCTCACAGCTGAGTCTAGCTCAATGCCTCTTACTCAGGTCTACAGCAGGAAGGAGGAGGAACAAAATTTGTGATAACTCTCTCTCTCTGCTTTCACTCTTGCTCTCTCTCATTGTTAAAACCGTTCAACAAAAAATAAAATTTGATTTGTTAGACCACATTATTTTGCATATACATTAAACAGGCCAAAATAAATAAAGAGCAACTTCATGGACAAAAAAGGGGGTGGGTAGGGGGAACCTTTTATCTTTGGCCTTTTTTAAAAAAATTTTTATTAATGTATTTATTTGAAAGGCAAAGAGACAGAAAGAAGACAAAGAGAAAGAGCTTCCCCAAATGGCCACAACAGCCAGGGCTAGGCCAGGCCAAAGACAGGATTCCAGCACTCCATCCAGGTGTTCCATGCGGGTGGCAAGACCCAAATATTTAGGTTATCTTCTGCTGCCTCCCAGTCACATTAGCAGGAAACTAGAATGGAAGCAGAGGTGGAACTCAATCCCAGCCTCAATCCATATTCATGCCCTGAATCCCTGGAACCTGTGAACATTACTACATATGGGATTTTGCAAATGTAGTTAAGGATCTTGAGATGGGAGATTATCCTAGATTATCTAAACTCAGTAAGTCTGTAGCAAGCTAATTTTTAAGTTGATGATTTTATTTTAAAAAAAGTTATTTTTATTTATTTGAAAGGCAGAGTTGCAGAGAGAAAGAGAGGGAGGGAGGGAGGGAGAGAGAGAGAGAGAGGTCTTCCATCCACTGGTTCGCTCCCCAATTGGCCACAATGGCTGGATCTGAGACAATCTGAAGCCAGAGCCAGGAGCTTCCTCCAGGTCTCCCACGCGGGTGCCAGGGGCCCAAGGACTTGGGCCATCCTCCACTGCCTTCCCAGGCCTAGCACAGAGGTGGAGCAGTCAGGACTTGAACCAGTACCAATATGGGATGCCGGCACTGCAGGCAGCGGGTTTACCCATTACACCACAGTGCCAGCCCCAGTTGATGATTTTCCATGGCCTGTGAATGATGTTAAAAATATCTAAATAGCCCTGAGCAGAAAAAAGGTTCCCCACCTCTATAAAGGTAGATTTTTTTGTCTCTAGCAGGAGATTTGAATACAGAAAAGTAATAGATTGTGATGATGGAAGCAAAAGGTTGGAACGATGTAAAGAGGGGGCCATGAATACAGCAACTTCTAAAAGGCAAAAAACAAACAGGTGGGCATCATGGTGCAAATGTGGTCAGTTTGCATCCCATATCTGAGTACCTGGTTGAGTCCTGCCTACTCCGTACTTTGTTTCCCACCAATGCACCTGGGCAGCAACAGATGATGACCCAAGTACCTGGACTCCTGTTACCCATGTGGGAGATCCAGATGGAATTCCTGGCTCCTGACTTCAGCCCAGCCCTGGCTGTTGTGGGTATTTGGGGAGTGAACCAGTGGATAGAAGATCTATCATTTTTCAAAAAAATTGAATAACTTTTTTTTAAAAAAGTGAGAAAATGAATCCAATCCTTATGGCATCTTGGTTTTAGCCTAGTGAGGCTGCTTTTAGACTTCTGGTCAACAAAACCGAAAATAATGTGTCCTGTTTCAAGCCACTAAATTTGGGGTGATCTGTCAAGACAGCAATAGGAAATCGTCTAAAACATCTTAGAGGTGACAGAGAGGCAACTGGACATGGGTCTGGAGGTGACAGAGCTGGAGTTGAGATGCAAATCTGCACATCCTATTCATCAGCGTGGCTGTAGGAGGGCACAAGCTCCTGCTCCAGGAGTGGCACTGTCACCTGCTGTCCATCTTTCAGCAACGCACGTAACTTCTGTGAAACATGACCGGGCTTTTACTCGTCCTGGCAGCACCTCAAGCAATTCACATGTCTTTTCATTTGCTCCTCAGCCACCGTTCGAGGAGAAGACTTTTCAATCAACTATTTCCAAAAAAAAAAAGAAAGAAAGAAAAGAACGAAAGAAACCGAGGTTTAGAGATTTTAGGTGACGTGTCCGAGATCATATGGCACAGCGCAGAGGCAGTGCTAACTCCAGCGCTTGCTTTGAGCCTCCGCGTACGGAAGCCCGGAGGAGCCCTCAGGTGGACCCCTGTCTGGGAACCGGACGCTACCCAGATCGCCGGGGCACGGGGTGTGGGAAGCGCTGTGCCCGAGCCCGCCGGCTGCACTCGGAGTTCCGCACACACACACACACGGTTTCCCACCTCCACGTCCCCGCTTACGTCGTTATCCACCCGGATTTAATATTCCGGTTGACGCCCGGGATTCTCCCAGGTATTTTATCTACTGTAATTCAGGTACCAACTCCTTCTCCTCCACTAGTGCCTGAACGTCTCTAGCCTAAGGTAGAGTTTTTCCTCAGCTACGTGCCAGGCAAAATTAAGACCCAGAGCCGACGAGCAGCCACTGTTCGAACCCACGAACTTGCTTAGCAAATAAAACCCACCCGTCGCGCCAGAGCACCGCGCAGGCGCAGTGGAGTCCTCCGAGGCCAGGCGGTGCGAGGCTGGTGGGCGGGAGGTTTAAACGCCGGAGCGCAGTCCTCAGGGCGGCTGAGCGGTTGGACGCATGCGCGCATCTCGTGGTGCCGCCTCCGAGGACCTTCCCGGCATGCGCGGGAGCCCGGATGTGGATCTCGTTTGAAATCGCGCGATGCTACAGCAATGGCGGCGCTCGGGATTGCAGCTGGTAGTGCCAATTGGTTTACGGCTTTGGCGCTCGGGGTGACTCTTCTCAAATGCCTTCTCATCCCTACCTAGTAAGGGACCCACACGGCCAGGGGCTGGGCGTGGTGAGGCGGGGACCGTGGTCGGTCAGGGCGGGAGAGAGTGGGTACCCCTGGGGAGGAGGAGAAAAGGAAGTTTTGAATTGTGTGGCCGCCACCCCACCTTTGCTGAGTTTCGCGCTCCGCCAGTTGAAACTTCTTCACCGGGTTCTGGCCTGATGCTGTCAGAGCTGAGCTATGTCACTCTGACGTTTCTGAGCCTCGGGTCCTCAAGCTTAGCGTGCAGATTTAGAACACCCATCTCCACCGTTCATTCAGCCAGTACCACTGGCTGCCTACAACGCCCAGCACTGTCCTAAACCCTAAAGATGCCGTGGTGAGCCAAACATTTCAGGTCCTCACCCTTGATGGAGTTGGTGGGGGCAGATAGGCAGGTAGGAAAATTTCTACTCGTGTGGTAAGATGAATAAAGGGAGTAGAGAGTAACTAGCTAGCACAGCTTTGCTCTTTTTAGAGGTGATGTTTGCATTAAAGTTCAACGGATGAGAAAGAATAGGCAATGTGAAAAGCCAGAAGAATTAGGTGCAAAGGCCCTGTGGTTGGAAAGAACTTAGAGCATTCTAGGAACAGAAGCTGGTGGTTCTGGCCAAAAACTGGTAAAGAAGAACAGGGACACAGGATGAGATTAGGCAGTTGCCAGATCACAACAGTTATGAAGGCCACGAAGTGTGCTACCAGAAATCGGTGCAGGTCCCAGACTGAAACCGGAAACCAGGGAACAGCCACCAAGTGGTGGTGGTGTTCAAACAATGGGTACTCAATATTTCATTTTAGTTTCTACCCTTGTTCCTTCCTCATTTCCTTCTTCTTCCTCTCTTTTTCTTCCAAGTTGGTCTCCCCCTTCCCACTTCATACTTTAAAGTTTGGTTTATTTGTTTTCTTTGATTCAGGCTTTTGATGATCTGTTGGGTATGGGAGAGCTGTATGTGTAGATTGTAGGTCCATACTGGTGTATAGACGTAATTATATAAAGAATAAAATGTACATGTAGGTTTAGCAAAGTGACTTACATGAACTTGGGAAAAGAAGGGTTTGGGTAGATTAATTTTCTGTGTAGCTGAAAGAAATAGCTTTTTTTTTTTTTTATTTTAAAAACAAATAGAAAAAAAATTCTAAAATGTAGAAAACTTTCACATGAGAATGAAGGTGAGTTTTGGGGAATTTTTTTTTTAAAGATTTATTTATTTACTTGAAAGTCAGAGTTACACAGAGGGAGAAGAAGAGGCAGAGAGGGAGAGAGAGGTCTTCCATCCACTGGTTCACTCCCCAGATGGCTGCAACGGCTGGAGCTGCGCGGATCCAAAACCAGAAGCCAGGAGCTTCCTCCAGGTCTCCTACGCGGGTGCAGGGGCCCAAGGACCTGGGCCATCTTCCACTGCCTCCCCAGGCCACTGCAGAGAGCTGAATCAGAAGTGGAGCAGCCAGGACTCAAACTGGCACCCACATAGGACACCTGCACTGCTGGCGGTGGCCTTACCCACTATGCCACAGCACCAGCCCCTGGGAAATTTTTTTTTACATGAAAATTAAGGTGAATTTTTTTTCCTTAGCTATAGGTGCATATGAAGTGATACTTTTTCACATCTCTGTAGAAATAAATCACTGGAGTTGTTACTTAGAATACTGCTCTGTCCAGAATTCAGGATGTAGTCAGAGTTAATGCTTTCCTTTTCAAACTGGAAACCCTGGGGTGTGAGAGGAAAGCTGCAGTATAAATGCAGATGTATACAACAGGATGTTTGCTAACGGCTTTTTTATGAACCACGTACTGTGGCTAGGCACTGGAAGGGAGGACAAAATGAATATACTTGTTTGTTTATTTATTTGAAAGGCAGAGTTATGCAGAGGCAGAGCGAGAGAGAAAGAGAGAGAGAGAGAGAGGTCTTCCATCCGCTGGTTCACTCCCCAGATGGCCGCAACAGCCGGAGCTATGCCAATCTGAAACCAGGAGCCAGGAGATTCCTCTGGGTCTCCCAAGTGGGTGCAGGGGCCATCCTCCACTGCTTTTCCAGGCCATAGCAGAGAGCTGGATTGGAAGTGGAGCACCCGGGACTTGAACTGGTGCCCATACAGGATGCTGGCACTGCAGGCAGCGGCTTTATGCACTACGCTACAGCACCGGCCCCATGAATATGCTTCTTAATCATGTAAAGTGTGTAGTTTAGTAAGGGTAACTGTTCCAGAAACAAATCAATACAGATATATTATTACGCACGGTAACTTGTGTTACGTGTTAAGAAAGAAAAGAACAGGATCCTATAGGGGAATTAACAAGGGATACTTTAGGTGGAGTGACAGAGAACATCTGAGGAACTGGCGTGTAATTAGAGGCCTAAAGTATGTGTGAGAGAGGGCCATCCAAGTGAAGTGTGTGGTGTGGCTATGTGTGTAAAATTTATCTGAGAGTACTGTTAATGAGCAAAGGCCCAGTGGTGTGGAAACATGGCATGTTTGGGCAGCTAGAGTAAGGTCAATGTAGCTGGACTGTGGTAATCAACAGGGAGAGTAGCATGCACAGTGAAATCGGAAAGATCAGCAGGAAACAAATCATGTTCGATGGAAATGGTTGGCATTTATAAAATACTTCTTAGTTGCTGTATCCATGATTGAAGGAGACAGCGAGATCAGAAAAGCTGTTTAGGAGCCTATTTAAAAACTCCAGGTGAGAGATGTTAGTAACTTGGACTAGAATAGTAGCATTGAAGATATAATAAAATAGACAAATTGGAGATTTAGTTTGGAGCAGAGATTACCTACCTATCATGAGGACGGAGTGATTCCCAGAGAGAGTGACAGCTACTCTGGAGGCATTTGATGGTTTAAGAGCTGAATCTCTGGAGGCAGATCACTGGCTGAAGTGATTTACTGGCTGCTTGAGTTAGGACAAGCTACTAACCTCCCTAAGCCTCACTTCTCTCATCTGTAAAGTGGTGAAAATTGTAGTACCTACCTCTTAAGGAGTGCTCTGGGGAGAGGGAGAAGGTAGAATGTGGAAGACGAGGAGAGATGGGACCGTAGGGAGAAATGGGCTGGAAAGGGGAATGAGCAACCTCAGAAAATCTTCTAAGCATGTTAAATAATTACGACTTTACCTGGATGGCAGAGAACAAATGCAAGGGAAATGTGACAGGATGGTGGGTTTGGAAAGTTCCCAGTCACAATCACTTAACAACAGGATACATTCTAAGAAATGCTTTAGGAGGTGATTTTGAGCATCAAACATCATAGAGTGTACTTACACAAATTAAAATGGCTGCATGTTACTAGGCCATGAAATCTTATGGGACCAGCGTCTTAGATGTGGTCCATTGTTGACCTATACATTGTTATGTGGCATATGATTGTACTCCATCTATAATGTAAGGGTGGACTAATAAAGGGAGGGAGTATGGAGGGTTCAGTTAGGAAATTGCTGTGGGACAAGTAAGAGGTGATGGTAGTTTTTGTTTTCCAAGATTTATTTATTTATTATAAGACAGAGAAACACAGAGAGAAGGAAAGACAGAGTGTGAGAAAGAGATCTTTATCTACTGGTTCACTCCTCAAATGGCTTTAACAATGGGGGTTGACAAGGTCAAGACCAGGAGCCAGGAACTCCATCTGGGTTTCCCATGTAGGTTGGAGTGGCCCAAGTATTTGGGCCATCTTCTACCACTTTTCCAGGCACATTAGCAGGGAGCTGGATCGAAAACAAAGTAACTGCAACTTTAACCAGCACTGCAATATGGGATGCCAGCCCCAAAGGTAGTCTTTAAAATTTAATTTTAAAAAAAGAAACTATAGGGCTGACATTTGGCTAAGCAGTGAAGATGCCTGCATCCCATATTAGGTTTCCTCGATTTGAGTCCTAGCTCTGTTCCTGATTCCAGATTCCTGCTGATGTGAACCCTGGGAGTCAGCAGTTGATGGCTCAAATAGTTGGATCCCTGCCACTCATGTGGAAGACCTAGATAGAGTTTCTAGCTCCTGACATTTTTTTAAATTAATTTGTTTGTTTAAAAGGCAGAGCAACAGAGCAAGAAGAGGAGGCGCAGAGAGATGCTGTTTCACTCCCCAAATGGCCACAATAGCCAGGGTTGGACCAACTCAAAGCCAGTAACCAAGAACTCCATCCTAGTGTCCCACATAAGTGGCAGGAGCCAAAGTACTTTCTGCTGCCTCTCCAGGTGCATTAGCAGGAAGCTAGATTGGAATCAGAGCAGCTGGGACTTGAACTGGTGCTCTGATATTTGGATACCAGCTTTGCAAGCCACTGCGTCATGATGCCGGGCACTCACTGCACCCCCTTCCCCTCCTCACTGAGTCCTGGCTTTGGGCCATCACAGTCCCTGCCCTAGCAGGCACTTGGGAAGTAAACCAGTGAGTGGGATGTTTCTCTATCTCCCTGTGTGCCTCTTGAATATATATATAAATATATCTATATATATTTATATATAGATATATATATATATTTTGACAGGCAGAGTGGACAGTGAGAGAGAGAGAGACAGAGAGAAAGGTCTTCCTTTGCCGTTGGTTCACCCTCCAATGGCCACCACGGCTGGCGAGCTGCGGCCGGCACACCGCGCTGATCCAAAGGCAGGAGCCAGGTGCTTCTCCTGGTCTCCCATGGGGTGCAGGGCCCAAGGACTTGGGCCATCCTCCACTGCCTTCCCGGGCCACAGCAGAGAGCTGGCCTGGAAGAGGGGCAACCGGGACAGAATCCGGCACCCCGACCAGGACTAGAACCCGGTGTGCCGGCGCCACTAGGCGGAGGATTAACCTATTGAGCCGCGGCGCTGGCCCATATATATATATTCTTAATTTATAAAGCTACAGCTATATACTACATAGACTTCTCAATGACACACTTCAGGTATGATGGTGATCCCTAAGATTATATCACCTAATGATGTCATAGCCATCCTAGTTTATGTAAGTACTCTCCTTGATGTTCACGCAGTGTTGAAGTCACCAAATAATGTGATTTTCAGAATGTGTCCTTGGTATTAAGCAATGTACAACTTCAGTTGCTAGCTCTTTGGCTTTATTTCTCTAATCTTGGAATTGCATTTCTTTCAAATACTGTTGCAGCAAGTTAAATTTACTTTTCTGCTTCATAGTTTATCCAATAATCTGAAAAAAGACCTGCTGATACTGTAATACCAACATCCTTGTCCTTTGTTTAGATTTTTGTGAATACTGTTATAAATATTCATTTGTAATTCTTCATTTGTGTTTCAGGATTGAAAGAGTACATATTCAGCATTGAGAGAATACCTTGGGTGACTTAACCTTAAGAGATTTTAATCATTTTGCTAGACATCTTTAAAAATTGTTTTGGCCGGCGCCGCGGCTCACTAGGCTAATCCTCCGCCTTGCGGCACCGGCACACTGGGTTCTAGTCCCGGTTGGGGCGCTGGATTCTGTCCCGGTTGCCCCTCTTCCAGGCCAGCTCTCTGCTGTGGCCAGGGAGTGCAGTGGAGGATGGCCCAAGTGCTTGGGCCCTGCACCCAATGGGAGACCAGGATAAGTACCTGGCTCCTGCCTTCGGATCAGCGCAGTGCGCTGGCCGCAGCGGCCATTGGAGGGTGAACCAATGGCAAAAGGAAGACCTTTCTCTCTGTCTCTCTCTCTCAGTGTCCACTCTGCCTGCCAAAAAAAAAAAAAAAAAAAAAAATTTGTTTTGTGGGCTAGTATTGTGCACAGTAGATTAAGTCCCAGCTTTCAATGCCCACATCCCATGTAGGAGTGCCATTTCTAGTCTTGGCTACTCTGCTGTGATCCAGCTCTGCTAATGTGCCTGGGAAAGCAGTGAAAGATTGCCCAAGTGCTTGAGCCCTGCACCTATGTAGGATAGAGTTCCTGTCCCTGGCTTTGGGCTGGCACAGGGCTGGATGTTGTGGACTTGTGGGGAGCAAACCAGTAGGTGGAAGATTTCTGGGTATGTGAGTATGTTTCTCTCTGCCTTTCAAATAAAAATGAATAAAGATTTAAAAGCCAAGATTCTCCAGAGCAGAGTAAGAAGAGGTCCAAGAAGACTTAGAGAAGCATCAGTGTTTACCTGCTGAATAAAGGAGGGGAAAGCTGTGATTGAGACTGAAAAGCAGGTGATTGGGAGACTTAAGAAAAAGTCGTCACTATGGAAAAGTCACGTGAAACCTATTGAAAAATGAAAATTAGGCTTTGAAAGTGTAACTCCTTGACTTTGGTGAGTGGTTAAGCCCATTCATGGGTCAGGTGCTGTTCTAGCTCTGGAGGGAGGAGATCCTAGGATATATTTCTATATAGGAACAGTCAGGGGGCTGTAAGTGGGAGAATCTGAAGACATCGGAAAGGCAGAGCAGGCGTCTTGTTCCACCTTCTGGGAAACTAATCATGCATAAAGATCCAGCTTTACCAGGTGAAGAATTTTGTTAGAAATGTTTGTAACTGGGGCCAGCGCTGTGGCATAGTAGGCTAAGCCTCCACCTGCAGCACTGGCATCCCATAAGGGCACCAGTTTGAGTCCTGGCTTCTCCACTTCCAATCTGACTCTGCTTATGGCCTGAGAAAGCAGTAGAAGGTGGCCTACGTGCTTGGGCCCCTGTACCCACATGGGAGACCCAGAGGAAGCTCCTGGCTCCTGGCTTCAGATCGGCTCAGCTCCAGCCGTCGCGGTCATTTGGGGAGTACATCAGCGGATTGAAGACCTTTCTCTCTATCCCTCTCTCTGTCTGTAACTCTACCTCTCAAATAAATTTTTTTAAAAATGAAGAAGAAGAAAAAGAAATGTTTGTGACCACCAACCAAGGCCTTTCTTGTCAGCCCTGTAGATAGCTCTGAGACCCTTCTCACTGACTTGCAGGTCCCCCAGCAACTTTGTAGGAGGTCTCCCCTCCACAAAGCGAGGTATTTCAGGTTTACCTAATGAGTGTTTCTGGTATAGGATAATAGGCGGTGACTGTCACTGGGGGATGTTGGTTCCTTCAGAAGTATAATTACAAAAATTAAAAATGGATAAATGTGAAATCTCATTTTATTCATCTGGTTGTTTTAAAGCCATTCCACAGATTTTGAAGTACACCGAAACTGGCTTGCTATTACTCACAATTTGCCAATATCACAGTGGTATTATGAGGTAAGTTTTAATTATCACCTTTTGTTTGGATTTTTTTTAAAGATACATAAAAACATGTAAATATTATTGCTATTAAAATAGCTTTCCAGAGCCGGCGCTGTGGCTCACTAGGCTAATCCTCCGCCTTGCGACACCAGCACCCTGGCTTCTAGTCCCGGTCGGGGCGCCGGATTCTCTCCCGGTTGCCCCTCTTCCAGGCCAGCTCTCTGCTATGGCCCAGGAGTGCAGTGGAGGATGGCCCAAGTCCTTGGGCCCTGCACCCCATGGGAGACCAGGAGAAGCACCTGGCTCCTGCCTTCGGATCAGTGCGGTGTGCCGGCTGCAGCGCGGCGGCCATTGGAGGGTGAACCAACGGCAAAAGGAAGACCTTTCTCTCTGTCTCTCTCTCTCACTGTCCACTCTGCCTGTCAAAAATAAAAAAAATAAAATAAAAATAGCTTTCTATTAAGTCACAGGTTTACTTAATCTTTATAAAAATTGCATTCTTTCCCCAGTCTGTCCTCTGGACTCTGAGGAAATCTCCTTACTTCAAAATGAGCATCCCACTCTAGTAATTGGGAGTTAGAATCTGTGCCACACTCTTTTTGAAGGAACATTGGTTTGGGAAACAGGAAAAAATGGAATCTAAGCCTAGCTGTGTCAATAACTAGCTATATGTGAGGCTGTCAAAAAATTTACAGAAAATGTCTATTATGAAAGAAATATTCATGGATTTCAAAGTTTTTTACACCAAAATAAGCTTATTTTTTAATTCCATTTTCCACTGGCTTTCTGAAGTACTCTTGTAAGAGAAAAGATAATCTCCCTGTCTCTCATGTGGCTCATGAGGATTTAGAATGAATCGTTTCCTGCTTTGTATTTTTAAGATTTATTATTTTATTTATTTGAAAGGCAAAGTGACAGAGAGAGAGAGAGAGAGTGTTCTTCCATCTGCTTGTTAATTCTCCAGATGGTAACAACAGCCAAGTCTGACCCAGACTGAAGTCAGGGATCAGGGACTCAATCTGGGTCTCCCACATGGGTGGTAGGGACATAAACACTCAGACCATCATCTTCTGCCTTCCCAGGTACATAAGCAGGAAGCTGGATCAGGCCTTGAACCCTTGAACTAGTATTCCAATATGGGATGCCAACATTGCAAGCAGCAGTTTAACCCACTGTCTACAACACCAGTCTCTAGATCTAAGCATTTTTTAAAGGCAGGGTTCTTTTTTCTGTTTTTTAAGAATTATTTATTTATTTGAAAGGCAGAGTTAGAGCAGGAGAGAGATCTTTCATTTGCTGGTTCACACCCTGTCGCTCCCCTTCTTCGTGGAGGAGCAACACAGGACCCTGCGCTGTTCTTTCGTCTGCTCGGCCCTCCCCGGGTTTGCTGCTGGTTCTTCCCGGGTTGGCTACTGACCCTTCCACCTCCGTGGAAGGGCAGTTCCCCCTAGCCACATTCCCCACTTCCGCAGGGGAGCGGCACACCGTCGGCCGGCTCGTCTCGGGGGCTGCACAGGTGTTCCTTCAGCTAGATGTTCCCCTTAGATGTTCCTGGTGCATGCCGTCTCTCTCCTCCTTTATAGTCCTCCTCCGCCAATCCCAACTCGGCTGCCCACACGCCGAGTACGCTGCTCTCCAATCAGGAGCAAGTCCTACAGTTTATTAGTTGAACTGGAGGCAGCTGTGCAGAAGCTGTTTACTTCTCTCCCAGCGCCATATTGTGGGAGAGCAGATGCATAGAATAAGTCTTAATTCGAGTAACTTAGTCTAGTCCGGATTGCTCCCCACAACACCCCAAATGGCCACAATGGCCAGGGCTGAGCCAGGCTGAAGTCAAGAGCCAAGAGCTCCTTCAGGGTCTCCCACATGGGTGGCATGGGCCCCAGCACTTGAACCATCTTTGCTGCTTTCCCAGGCACATTAGCAGAGAGCTGGATTGGAAGTGGAGCCGCCGGAACTCGAATTAGCACCCTTATGGGATGTTGGCATTGCAGGCAGCAGCTTTAACCAGCTGAGCCGCAGTGCTGGCCCTAGAATTTATCTATCCATCTATCTTTCTTTCTCTCTCTCTCTCTTTCTTTTTCTCTTTCTCTCTTTCTCTCTCTCTCTTTCTCTCTCTTCCTCCCTCCCTCCCTTCCTCCCTCCCCTTCTTCCTTCCTTCCTTCTTTCTTTCTCTCTGTCTTTTTTTTTTTTTTTAAGATTATTTATTTATTTGAAAGGCAGAGTTACAGAGGCAGAGGTCTTCCTTCCACTGGTTCACTCCCTAAATGTCTGCAATGGCCGGAGCTGAACCTATCTGAAGCTAGGAGCCAGGAGCTTCTTCCTGGTCTCCCATTTGGGTACAGGGTCCCAAGCATTTGGGCCATCCTCTGCTGCTTTCCCAGGCCATAGCAGAGAGCTTTATCGGAAGAGGAACAGTTGGGACGCGAATTGTTGCCCATATGCAATGCCAACATTGCAGGCGGCAGCTTTACCTGCTGGCCACAATGCCAGCCTCAGAATTAATCATTTCTAAATGCTGTGTTTTCCTAATGGTTTATGATTTGATGAGAAAAGCATTAATCAAATGTGATGTGTACGTATCAGGTAATATACATTCTTTTGTTATTATTTGTAAAAAACATGTCTGTATTTTTATTGCTGGTGTGTTTTACTAAATTGCATGTGATACTTCATGAAAAACAGACATCACCTCAGACAGGTCTTGATCAAAAGTATCATTGCTGGGGCTGATGCTGTTGTGTTGCCTGTAAAGCCACCACCTGCAGTGCTGGAATCCCATATGGGTGCCAGTTCAAGTCCCGGCTGCTCTACTTTCGATCCAGCTCTCTGCTGTGGCCTGGAAAAGCAGAAGAAGATAGCCCAAGTCCTTAGGCCCCTGCACCCACTTGGGAGATCTGGAAGAAGCTCCTGGCTCCTGGCTTCGGATGGGCTCAGCTCTGGCCATTGCGGCCAATTGAGGAGTGAACCAGCGGGTAAAATACCTCTCTCTCTCTCTCTCTCTCTCTCTCTCTCTCTCTCTCTTTCTCGCGCGCGCGCGCTCTCTCTCTCCCTATCCCTCTCATTCTTCCACTCCTCTCTCTCTAACTCTTTCAAATAAATAAATAAATATTTTTTTAAAAAGTATAACTGCTGTCAGGAAGATTTTTTTAATGATTTATTTTATTTATTTCAAAGAGTTAGAGATCCATTTTCTATCTGCTGGTTCACTCCTCAGATGGCTGTAACAGGGCTGGGCCTGGCCAAAGCCAAGAGCCTCAAACTCCATCCTGGTCTCTCACATGAGTAGCAGGGACCCAAGCACATGGGTCATCTTCCTTTGCTTTCCCAGGCACATTAGCAGGGAGCTGCATCTGAAGTGGAGAAGCTGGGACTTCAACCTGCATTCATGTGGGATGCTGGCATCGCAGGCATCCGCTTAACCCTCTGCACCACATTGCCAGCCCCAGGAAGATGGTTTTTAAGGCAAGTTTCATGTGAATTTGTTGTTGATTGGCTCAATAAGAATAGTCCTTTGTACTGAGAAGGCTCAAGAACAGTCTTAGGGGCCAGTGCTGTGGTACAGCAAATTAAGCCGTGGCTTATGGTGCTGGCATTCCATACGGGCACCAGTTTGAGTCCCAGATGTTCCACTTCTGATCCAGCCCCCTGCTAATGTGCCTAGGAAAGCCATGGAAGATGGTCCAAGTCCCTGAGCCCCAGCACTCATTGGGAGACCAAGAAGAAGCTTCTGGCTGTTGGCATTGGCCTCGCACAGCCCTAGCCATTGAGGCCATTTGTGGGGCGAACCAGCAGATGGAAGATCTCTCTCTGTCTCCCCTTCTCTCTGTAACTCTACCTTTCAAATAAATAAATCTTTAAAAAAAAAAAAACAGTTATCAGGTGACAAGTTCATTCTCACATAACACTAGAAATATTTCATATGGATGCAGATATTTCAGTTCACATATGTGGATACCAATTAGTGTGGCCCAGTGGTTAAGAATGTGGACTGTGGCTTCAGACTGCCTGAATTGACCTTCAGCTCTGCTGCCTTTTTTTTTTTTTTTGGGGGGGGGGGGGACAAGCATAGTGGACAGTGAGAGAGAGAGAAAGGTCTTCCTTTTGCTGTTGGTTCACCGTCCAATGGCTGGCGTGCTGCAGCCGGCGCACCACACTGATCCAAAGCTAGGAGCCAGGTGCTTCTCCTGGTCTTCCATGCAGGTTCAGGGCCCAAGGACTTGGGCCATCCTCCACTGCACTCCCGGGTCATAGCAGAGAGCTGGCCTGGAAGAGGGGCAACCGGGACTAGAACCCAGTGTGCTGGCACCACAGGCAGAGGATTAGCCTATTGAGCCTAATGAGCCAGCTCTGCTGCTTAATGACCATGCTTGGTGACCATGGGCAAGCTTGTTGGCCTCTCAGTGCCTCAGTGTGCCCAACTATGAAATGATAATAAGCAGTTATTAAAATTGAAGTGGTTATGGTTATAACATTCATGAAGCACTTATGCTTGAAACAAAAATGCTCAGTATACATGAAGAGTCATTAAGAATTGTTACCAGTATTGTGCTGTAGCAGGTTCAGCTGCCACTTGCAATGCTGACATCCCGTACTGGAGGGCCAGTTTGAGTCCCACCTGCTCTGCTTCCAATCCACCTTTCTGCTAATACACCTGGAAAGGCAGCAGATGATGGCATAAGGACTTGAGCCCTTCCCACCCATGTGGGAGACCAGGGTGGTGTTCCTGGCTCCTGGCTTCACCCTGGCCAATATAGCCATTTGGGAGTGAACCAGTAGATGGAAGATAAATATTGATCAATCGCTGTCTCTCTCTCTTTCTTTCTTTCTTTCCACCCTTCTTCCCTCCCCCCTTCTCTCTATGTTGCTCTACCTTTTAAATAAATAAATAAACCTAAAAAAAATCCCTCAGCCTATAAATGAACAGACCTTTCTTTTTCTAGCCATTTCCCCTTTCCACCTGACTGTTCCTGCTTAGTCTCTCTCCTTTGTAAACATTATTCATCTGTACAGCTTTAAAAAGCTGGTAAAAGAAAGACAAATCCTTGAGGTTAAAGGGTCTTCTGGTCCTAATTTGGGAACTATTTGTGGGTAATAAGGTTGATATTCAAAGCCTTTCTAACTAATGTGAGATATTGAGGGTAGCAAAAGAAAAAAAGTGTGCTTTTTTTTTTTTTTTTTTGAGAAAATAACATCTCTCAGGCAGTATTGCAGTTCTTTTAATGCTTCCCATTTGCCAGTTTAAAAGTGTATATCAGTTTAAAAAGTAGGAAAACTTTTGGGCATCTAGTCACATAAATAGCCCTCTAAGAGTAGGATGACCTCTGATATTTGACGTTATATCTGGAAACTGGATATTAAGTCCAAATTTATGTTTAATTTCTTAAAATTGTATGTGCAATAATTTCTGAGCTCTTTTAAATTCCATACCAAGAAATCATTTTTGTGTATTTTCTAGCTAATTTGTCCTTATTTATAAAATATAAAGGTATTCCTCTAGTATTATGTATTAACAGTAGAAATTTTAAAAGATGAGGTAAAAAATGGAATTTCTGATTTTTTTTCTCACAGTTAAGGGCTCATGTTATTTATACCTCACATTGGAGATTTGGGGTCAAAGGACTTTTTCATGAAGCAGAACAGGAATGGGAAATCTTTTTTCTGCTAAGGGCTATTTGGCTCTTTAGAACATCATTCACAGGCCATACAAAATTATCAACTTAAAAATTAGCCTGCTATAGATTTATTGAATTTCAAGTCCTGCCTGCAGTTGCCCTGGCAGGGCCAAGCCAAATAATTTCCTAGGCCTCTGTGGCCGTGGGCCAGATGTTCCCCACCCCTGAAATAGAACTGAATGAGTAGGTTTATAGCCTGAAAGCCGGGGCCAGAGCCTCCGGGTAAGGCTTCTGCATTTTATACCTGTAGGGGGAGTAAATAGGCTGCTGCTTCCCAGGACTTAAGTTCTTTGTCAGTCATCCTTGTCATTAAGGGCTGATAATTCAATTATCTGGGTCTCTGTCAAAAAAGTGGTATTCCCTGTTGGCACCCAGTTGGTTACTGTGAACCCATAGTGCCCTTCCAGCAAGAGAGGAGTTTTGCATTGGAAAGGGCAACAGGTGCAGAGTAGGGTGATGGCAATAGTTGTCTCAGCTCTTCTAGGTGCAAGACTTAGATTAGTTTTAGGAAGTTCCCACAATGATGGTAATGCTTTTTAAAATTATAGCAACAAATAATATTTATATGTGTATATATATAATTTTACAAATGTGTATAAATTGTAATACAGTAACCGATGAGGTAGGTACTACCATCCATGTTGTGTAGGTGAGAAAGAGGAGACTAAAAAACTAGCAAAATAGAATATGCTGGAGTTTGTGTCTTTTTCATAATGGTTATCAGGCACATACGAATGCTCAAGATAAAGTATAACCCAGGGTAGTTTCCACTGTCCAAGATCTCCTAGCCCAGTGAAACAAAAAGAATTAACATTTGTTTAGCATTTTGTTATTTATAAATATTTTCCATACGTATTATCTCATTTATCCTTTACAGTACCTCATTTTAGAAGTAGAAAAATTGAGTCTCTGAGATACAACTTGAACCCAAGCTAGTGAATCATTTGTTATGCCAAAGCTCCCTTTTTGTTTTGTTTTGTTTAAACATATATTTATTTATTTATTTGAAAGTCAGAGTTACACAGAGAGAGAGAGGTCTTCCATGTGATGGTTCACTCCCCAACTGGCTGCAATGGCCGGAGCTTCGCAAATCCAAAGCCAGGAGCCAGGAGCTTCTTCCGGATCTCCCACATGGGTGCAGGGGCCCAAGGACTGGGGCCATTATCCACTGCTTTCCCAAGTCATAGCAGAGAGCTGGATCTGAAGTGGAGCAGCCAGGTCTCGAACCGGTGCCCATATGGGATGCCGGCGCTTCAGGCCAGGGTGTTAACCCACTGTACCACAGCGCCGGCCCCCTCAGAGATCCCTTTTTTACTTGGATGAATAACCGAGTCATATCCAAGTATATCATTTGAAGATTTCAGATTAATTTTCTTTGAAGTGTACTTGACTCTACTTAAGGACACTGAAGATTATATTCACTAACTTAGAAGACAGGTTTTAGTGTTCTGTTCATTCTTAAACGGGAATTGCTCTATTAACATGGGGTACATTTTATTTTATTTTTTTTACAGATACAGTGCCTTTTTTTCCTCTTTTTATTTACTTACTTTATTCAAAAGAAAGACAGAGAGATCTTCCATCTGTTGATTCACTCTCCAGATGCCTATAATAGCTAGGGTTGGGCCAGACCAAAGCCAAGAACCCAGAGCTCAATCTCGTCTCCCACATAGATAGCAGAGACTCAAGAATTTGAGCTAATATCACTGCCTTCCAGGGTGTGCATTAGGAAGCTATGTGGAAAGTGAGGGAACCACTTAACCCAGACATTGCTATATGGAATTAGGTGTTTAAACCAGGACATATTTTATTTAATTATTATTTTGTTTTTTAATTTTATTGAAAGGCAGAGTTAGAGAAAGGAAGAGACAGAGAATGAGATTCTTCTATCTGCTGGTTCACTCCCTAAACGGCCACAATGGCCAGGACTGGGCCAGACAGGAGCCAGGAGCTTCTTCCAGGTCTCCCATGTTGGTGCAAGGGCTTAAGCATTTGGGCCATCTTCTGGTGTTTTGCCAGGTACATTAGCAGGGAGGCAGATTAGAAGTGGAGCAGCTGGGCATGAACCAGCACCCATGTGGGATGCCAGTGTTGCAGACAGTGGCTTTCCCACTATGCCACAATGCCAGCCCCATCATATTTTAAACAGTTTAATTTCATTGTGCTTTTTTATAAAGACTAGAGAATGAGAATTTTACATCTTTACACTTTCTTTGTGTATTCCGTTTCTGAGGATGTGTTTTTGTCTTTGATTTTTATCACAGGCTACTTCGGAGTGGACCTTGGATTACCCCCCTTTTTTTGCATGGTTTGAGTATGCCCTGTCACATGTGGCCAAATATTTTGATCCAGAGATGCTGAAGGTCCACAATCTGAATTATTCCAGCTCAAGGACTTTACTTTTCCAGAGATTTTCTGTCATCTTTACAGATGCACTCTTTGTGTATGCTGTCTATGAGTAAGTCTGGACAATGTCATTTGTATATTGAAGGTATTGAAGAAATATTACAGTATTAAATAGTATTAACTTATTCCTGATTTGGGGAAACAAAGTTCATATAATAGCAAAGGATAAAATAGTGAAAACTCAGGTTGTACTTTCCAGTGCATGAGTAATTAGTAAGCAATCTAGCTGAATCTTATAGAAGCAGTTGGGGTAAAGTGGGTTCACAAGGCAGAAGTAGAAGATTATGAATGTTGTAAAAATTACGTCCACAAGTGGAGTTTCAGGGCTGGTTCTCCCACCCCGTATAGCTTCATGTGCTTTTTTCTGTTTTTAAAAGATTTTTTATCTATCTACTTATCTATCTGAAAGGCAGAGTGAGAGGGATCTTCCATCCTCTGGTTCACTCCCAGAATGCCAGCAACAGCCAAGGCTGGGCCATGCCAAATCCAGGAAAAAGGACCTTCATCAGGGACTCTCACATGACTGGCAGTGGACCAAGTACTCGGGCCATCATTTGCTGCCTTCCCAGGCATATTAGAAGGGAACTGTATTAGAAGCAAAGGAGCTGGGACTGGGATGCAAGCATCCCAAGCAATGGCTTAACACACTGCACAATAGTGCTAGCCCCTGATTTGCTTTTCTTTCCTTCTTTGCAACAATCTCCCAGAGGCTTCTGTGGCCTACACTGTTCTTTGGATACATGCACATAAACATAATACATGCATGCTCATATGCACGTATGCATGTGCTAACCACCAAAGCCTGCCTTTGTGGAGCTTGCATTGTAGGAAACTTACTGAGTGCTTCGCAAACATAGGATGTTATGCACAGTGATGTCAAAGGGCCAGGTTTTCAGTTAGTGTTGGTTTTCATTCTGTCATAATAGTTCAGCCTGCTGATGTGATTGTGACAGAGCAGTACTGGTGTCCCTTCAGTGACCCTTGTCATAAATGGATAGCTTCCAATTGTGAAGCCCTCTGCACTGAACTCTTTCCCCAGTTAGGGAAGAATTCCTTGGGAATGTTTTAACCCCCGCTCATTCTCCTTGAGTAACTCCTGCTTGACTCCTGAACTTCCAGTCTATGACCTGGCAGGAGTTGGAAGGCAAGATGGTTTGCAGGGCACTCCTTGTAACTCATTTTGAATTCAAGCTCCCAGAGAAAGTGTGTGCAAGCAGAAAGGAAACAGGATTAGAATTAATTTCCATCAGCAAAGTAGGGGAACAATTAGGTAAGATCGTTAAACTGTGTGCCAGTTCCCAGAACCAGGCACTCTGCACAGACTGTTAACTTATCCCACATTCTTAGTTATGCTTTACGGTGACTGTTTCTATTTGTAAGGAAACCAAGGCTCTGTGGGGAGAGAGGGGCACTCTGTAATGACCTCTGTTACTTGTTTCAGATTTGCTTTTAGAATTTGCCAGTATTCAAACTTCTTCTAAAGTGAAGACTGTTTCTCATCGGCATAGCTGAAAAAGAGTTGTGAAACTGGCCCTAGATGCTTGTTTCTGTGGTCACCTTATAAGTGATAAAGATAGGCATGGGTGGTTTGTCAGGAAATGTCTTGTGGGATAGCCTGTGGAAGTACTATGAGGCTCTGATGCAGACTGATGTTGTTTCTGTTTCTCCTGATGTTTTATTGTAGGTGCTGTAAATGCATTGAAGGAAGGAAATCAGGTAAAGAGCTTTTAGAGAAGCCGAAGTTCATTCTATCCGTGTTGCTTCTGTGGAACTTCGGGTTGTTAATTGTGGACCGTATCCTTGATTCTGTGTACTTTTCCTTACTTATTCTGACATATACTAATATAGGATTAATGGTGATTGTGTGCTGCATTTTTAAAAATTTGTTTGAAAGGCAGAGAGACAGGGAGGGAAGAGACAGATCTTTCATCCACTGTTTCACTCCCAAATGCCTGCAACAGCCAGGGCTATGCCAAGTTGAAGCCAGAAGCACAGAACTCAATCCGGGTCTCCCAAGTGGATGGCAAAAACCCAAGTTGAGCAGCGTACTCCCCCTAGGATGCACATTAGCAGGAAACTGGGGTTGGCAGCAGAACTGGGACTCTAACCTGGGCAATCTGATATGGCATGTGGGTGTCCCAAGCATTAGGATTAAAAAAAAAAAAAAAAGGTTTATTCATCTATTTGAAAGGCAGAATTACAGAGAGAGATGGAGAGATGGAGAAATCTTCCATCCACTGGTTTACTCCCCAAATGACCACAATGGCTGGGGTGGGCCATTTGCTGCCTTCCTAGACACATTAATAGGGAGCTGGGTCAGAAGCAGAGCAGCTAGAACTTGAACCAGTGCTCATATGGGATGACAGTATCACAGACAGTGGCTTAATCCACTGTGCCACAATACTGGCCTCACAAGTACCGTATTAACCACTGTCTAAAAAAAAAAAAAATCCTGCCCTGTGAGCTGCTTTTGAAAATAGAGGAAAATACCCAGACTTTGGTTTCAGTCTGGCCTGGACTCAGTTATATTGTAGCTTTAGGACCATGAGCAAATTAGTGTCTCTGAGCCTTCATTAACTTATGTCTAAAGTATCTCTAAAGATGAAATTCTAACTCCCTTACAAGTTCTTTTGTGAGGCTTAATGAAAAAGATTTGGGGGCCGGCGCCGTGGCTCAATAGGCTAATCCTCCACCTTGCGGCGCCGGCACACCGGGTTCTAGTCCCGGTCGGGGCGCCGGATTCTGTCCCGGTTGCCCCTCTTCCAGGCCAGCTCTCTGCTATGGCCAGGGAGTGCAGTGGAGGATGGCCCAGGTGCTTGGGCCCTGCACCCCATGGGAGACCAGGAAAAGCACCTGGCTCCTGGCTCCTGCCATCAGATCAGCGCGGTGCGCCGGCTGCAGCGGCGGCCATTGGAGGGTGAACCAACGGCAAAGGAAGATCTTTCTCTCTCTGTCTCTCTCTCACTGTCCACTCTGCCTGTAAAAAAAAAAAAAAAAAAAAAAGAAAAAAAGAAAAAGATTTGGGTGCTGCATACTATCGGCATTCGGGGGCTGTTGGAACCCTTTCTTATTCTTTGTTCTAAAAAACAAAAACTTCTTGCCCCTTTGCTGCTAGGTCTTCAAGATAAGAAAAAACTGAGGAGGTTTCAGTTTTTCTTCTTGGACATACATTGTAATTAAAGAGTTTGTCCATGATTTGACTCTTTTTAAAAAACATATTGATGGGGGCCGGCGCTGTGGCGCAGCGGGTTAACGCCCTGGTCTGAAGCGCCAGCATCCCATAGGGGCACCAGTTTGAGACCCGGCTGCTCCACTTCTGATCCAGCTCTCTGCTGTGGCCTGGGAAAGCAGTACAAGATGGCCCAAGTCCTTGGGCCACTGTACCCGTGCAGGAGACTGAGAAGATGCTCCTGGCTTTGAATTGGCGCAGCTCCAGCTGTTACCACCAATTTTGGAGTGAACCATCAGATGGAAGACCTCTCTCTCTGCCTCTCCTCTCTCTGTGTAACTCTTGACTTTCAAATAAATAAATAAATCTTTAAAAAAATACTAATGAAAAGTACAAGCCAGTAATAATATTTTTGTCTTTAATTTACGTATTCAGAAAGCATTTTGTAACAGCTGCCGTCATTCAGCTGGCACAGTTTATTATGATTTGGTATCCTCTGTTGTCTTTCCTTGACATGAGTCCAGATATTCATTTCCAGTACAATGGTTTTTTATTTGGATTAATGCTACTCTCCATTGCACGGTTATTTCAGGTAAATGTAAAATTGTCAAGGTCTGTTCCCCTTCAGTTTGGTTTTTAGCCTGTAAAGGCAGCAGTGGTGGGTGAATTTATTTAACCAACTAGTTTGCATTGCCAAGTGCTATGGATATTTTGGAGGGGTTATTTCTCACAAATTTCATCTTTTTTGAAAGTCATTTTCATCAAAAATTTCAAAAATAGTTTTCTCTAAAAACTTAGTAGAGTGGGCTGGCGCTGCGGCTCACTAGGCTAATCCTCAATCCTCCACCTTGCAGCGCCGGCACACCGGGTTCTAGTCCCGGTCCGGTCGGGGCGCCGGATTCTCTCCCGGTTGCCCCTCTTCCAGGCCAGCTCTCTGCTGTGGCCAGGGAGTGCAGTGGAGGATGGCCCAAGTCCTTGGGCCCTGCTCCCCATGGGAGACCAGGATAAGTACCTGGCTCCTGCCATTGGATCAGCTCGGTGCGCCAGCCGCAGCACGCCAGCCGCACCGGCCGTTGGAGGGTGAACCAATGGCAAAGGAAGACCTTTCTGTCTCTCTCTCTCACTGTCCACTCTGCCTGTCAAAAAAAATAAAATTAAAAAATTAAAAAAAAAAAAACTTAGTAGAGTGTGGCAGTCCTGAATTAAACTTGAATTTGTGTTTGGTTGGGATCATTTACATAAGAATGAAATCTCCAGCAGTTTTCACAATATGATAACTTAAATGATGGTACTTTACCCCCAGAAGAATGTGGAATAATGTAATGAGAAGTGTGCAGTTAAGAACCAGAAGAGCTGGCTTGAAATCTTGACTAATGTTGATGAGCTGTGTGGCTCACACAGAGGTTGCTCAGCTGCATCAGCTGCATCAGGTTGGGTCCAGATCATGTAATATACTATTGAGTAAACCTCACAACCAGTCTGGGAAGTTGTTGTAATTATTATCCATGTTCAGATTTCTGAACCACTCCTCTGTACACTGAAACACAGTCTCTGGGACTGGGATTTAGGAATTTGCAAAAATTTGTTGCTACATTGTCAGGCTTGAACCATGTACTGGGGCTGGTATTGTGGTGCTGCCTTTGATGCTGGCATCCTATATAGGCGCCAGTTCAAGTCCTGCCTGCTCCACTTCCAATCCAGCTCCCTGCTAATGTGCCTGGGAAAGCAGCAGAGGATGGCCCAAGTGCTTGGGCCTCTGCACCCATGTAGGAGACCTGGAAGAAGCTCCTGGCCTCTGGCTTCGGCATAGCCCAGACCCGGCTGTTGCAGTCATTGGGGAGTAAACCAGCAGATGGAAGATACTTCTCTGTCTCCCCTTTTCTCTCTCACATACATTTTTTTCAAATAAAAAAAAATTTTAAAAAGAAAAAACTTTTACCTAAAACAAGTATTTTAAGCCTCTTAGCCTCAGTTTTCTCCTCAACAAAATGAAATGTATCCCTACATCATTATGTTTTAATCTGAAAGAGACCTCCCACCCACTGGTTCATTCCCAGATGCCCACATCGGTCAGGGGTGGAGTCAAAGTCAGGAGCTGGGAACTCAATCCAGGTCTCCCACATGGGTGGCAGGAATCCAGTTACTTGAGCCATCACTGCTGCCTCCCAGCATCAGCAGGAAGCTGGAATTGGGAGTGAGTCAAGTAGCAAACCCAGGCTTCCAATGTAGGATATGAGCATCCTAACTAGCAGTTAAATTGCTAGGCCAAATTCCCACACCTACTCCCTATATTCTTACTGTAAAATGTGGCCACTGCCACAGAGGACTTTAGAAAAATCAGATTAGATATCTATTTAAAGTTCTCTGTCAGGGGCTGGTGCTGTGGTTTAATAGGCTAACCTCTGCCTGCAGCGCTGTCATCCCATACGGGCACTGGTTCACCTCCCAGCTGCTCCTCTTCCTTACTTGTCAAAATAAAGATTCTCATGTAAGGCTATTAAAAAAAAAGTTCTCTGTCAACCAACCATCAATATCTGGGTGAACTTTCTTTAAACCATAAAAAAATCTACATTGTGCTTAGGACATACTTCATGTTCAGTGAATGATTATTGAACAAATGAACTAAAATTTTACTATGGAATCAACTAGACTTTATCTGGGTCTTAAATATGTTTTAAGATTGGCAAAGAGATCTGGAAGTGTCCTTTTGTTTTTCTTTATTGTTCTGGACTATACCTAAGAAAACAGTGAGAGAAGGAACTTGACCTTTCATGATCTCTGGCACTTACCTTTGCCAAATACCATTATTTCATTTGATCCTTCTTAAAATCCTGTGAGATAGGTACGATTCATTTAGTTGTAGTCAACTCATACTTTGTGTTGTTTTTAAAAATCAAAATACTTTATTTAGGTAATTTATTTATTTTTTTTTAAAGATTGATTTATTTATTTGAAAGTCAGAGTTACACAGAGAAAGGAGAGGCAGAGAGAGAGAGAGGTCTTCCATCCTCTGGTTCACTCCCTAATTGGCCACAGTGGCTGGAGCTATGCCCATCCAGAGCCAGGAGCCTCTTCCAGGTCTCCCACACGGGTGTAGGGGCCCAAGGACAAGGGCCATCCTCCACTGCTTTCCCAGGCCATGTTAGAGAGCTGGATCGGAAGTGGAGCAGCCAGGTCTCAAACCAGCACCCACATGGGATACTGGCACTTCAGGCCAGGGTGTTAACCCACTGTGCCACAACGCCAGACCCATAGGTAATTTACTAGGATCAGGTGCTCTACTAGAACCTTCCTCCAATAATACTATGTAAGTTACCTGATCTGTTGTGGTTAAATGGGTTTTTTGTTTTTGTAGTATAACATCATATTTATGCATTCATACCCATTTCTAGCTCCTCTAAAGAAACCAACTAACAGTTATAAAATTATAAGGGTGGGGGCTGGCACTGTGGCTCACTTGGTTGGTCCTTCTCCTGCGGCGCCGGCATCCCATATGGGTGCCGGGTTCTAGTCCCGGTTACTCCTCTTCCAGTCCAGCTCTCTGCTGTGGCCCGGGAGGGCAGTGGAGGATGGCCCAAGTGCTTGGGCCACTGCACCTGCATGAGGCCATTTGGGGAGTGAACCAACGGAAGGAGGACCTCTCTCTTCTCTCTCTCTCTCACTGTCTATAACGCTACATGTCAAAAAAAAAAAAAAAAAAAACTATAGGGGTGAGGATAATTACATCTTCTGGACTCCAGCTCTTGTGGGAGAATTTGTAGCAGTTGGTACTGCATTTGTAGTATATTGATACAGTGTATCATATGCTATATCTCAGCATCAGAGTTAGTACTTAACAAACATTTGCTGAAATAATAATTTATTAGTATTAGACTTAGTATAAAAGCTAGTTGCAGTCACTTACCTCTGTTTTCCTTATATTGCCTATAGAACATTTACCTTTAAAACTTTTTATTGTAGAAAATTTATGGAAGTAAATAGTACAGTGATCTATACTTAAAGACATACACATATACATAAAATTATTTTTAAACATATCCTAGATACCATATTTTGTTTGCTTTCAGTATATCTATCTTTAAAAAACAGGAATTTTTAAAGGATAATTAGTTGTAAAACAGTACAGAGTTCCTGTATACCCTTCACCCATTTTCCCCTAATGTGGTACTACCTTACACACAAGCCTGGTACCTTCAGGAAGATTAAGAAACCAATGCTGGTACATTTGAATTTCAACAGTTTTTCCACTGATGTCCTTTTTCTCTTCCAGAATCCAACCCAGGAGACTACATTATTGCATTTCATTTGCTCTGGATTTTTAAAATCATGTTTCCCTTTTAAATCTAGAAAAGGCATGTGGAAGGAGCATTTCTCTTTGCTGTTCTCCTACATTTCAAACACATCTACCTCTATGTAGCACCAGCGTACGGGGTGTATCTGCTACGATCCTACTGTTTCACTGCAGTTAAACCAGGCAAGTTTTAGTGCTAATAGCAGCATCTTCTTTGTTTTCCTTCTTCCTGAACTATTGACTTGGACTTGCTTGATAAGAGGGTTTTGTGAAATACAACAGATATCGCTCAGTTGCTAACCGTATCAATCCTTTCCTCATTCTGGCTTTGCTCTGCTCCTGCCACGTCATAAAGATTGGTGTTCAATCAAGGAATTCTTCTAGTTTTAGCATAGGCTTAGGGTGTAGCTTTCCCTGCTTCTGGCTAATGACAGTGTTCCTTTTCTGTAGATGGATCTGTCCGATGGAACAGTTTCAGCTTTGTCCGTGTTACTTCCTTGGGACTGGTTGTTTTCCTAGTGACTGCTCTTTCATTGGGTCCTTTCCTAGCCTTGGTAAGTCCTTTTTAAAAATAAATAAATAAATAAAGTAATGCATGATTTTTGTTATAGTTTAGAAAAAATGAAACCGGAAATGTATGAAATAAGTAAAAGTCCACTTTTTCTTACTACTCCTAGTCAGTATGATTTATCAAAGGTTGAGTCATATTCTGTCAGATGTTTTTCTGCATGTTCACATATGTATATGTTTATGCTTATATGTTATATACAGAATTGATTCTCATTATTTAGATCCTGATTTGCGAATTCACTTACTAGAATTTATCTGTGACAATCAAAATCAGTATTTTTGAAGTTTTTTAAGGACAGCATACATTCAAAAGTGCTTAGAATGTAACAGATGTTCAAGTGTTTTTCTTCTTGTTTCCCACTGTGAAATCAATGAATTGATTTTAATTGCCACCAAAAAGGAAAAGTGCTGTTTTCCCTGCAACCCTCCTTGCTCTAGTAGACTTGAATATTTTGTAGTCCTGGGCTCTGTTTTGCACTTTGTAAATTCTTTCATTATTGTACTGATGTCATAATAGTGTAGACTGGTATTTGAAGTGTTTTTGTGTATCTTGTCCCACTGGACTTTTGGAAAGCTTACATAAAAAGCAATTCTATGAACCACTGAAGACATACAACCAATTCCTTAAAGGAACAAAAAAACTCAGACCTCATAATGTTCTACACATTATATATGCTACAGATGGTTCCCTAGTTCTCTTTTTGCATTTAGACAATATTGATGACTATTTAATCAGCTTAATTTTTCTTTTCAACAGAACCAACTGCCTCAAATCTTCTCCCGGCTCTTTCCTTTCAAGAGGGGCCTCTGCCATGCATATTGGGCTCCAAACTTCTGGGCTTTGTACAATGTCTTGGACAAGGTGCTGTCTGTCATCGGTATGGTAGCAGGCCTTCCATTCAGATTGAAAACATTGGTCACATCAAGAAATGGGGAAACCTGCTTTCTGTTGTGAATGTGGCCAAATTGTTCTCCTAGCTTTCAGGATGAACAGGGAGTTCAGTTCTTGGGCCCAAGTGAAGTGCGGTAAACAGACTGCATTCCTTATAAAAGCTGCTTGCAGCAGTGCAGTTGTAGATATTTCCTTGGGGGAAACTTTAAAATATTTAGTTACTTTTTGAAGGTAATTTTTGCCTTAGGCATTATTCAGCAGAGTGAATGCTCCTTTTAAATTTAAAATATATAAAAGAACAAGAATAATGACCTTGGGTATTAAACCAATAAAGAAAATGTTAACATGTATTTTAGCACAAGATGGGAAGAAATGGAAAACCTAGGCTATGTGCTTTTTTAAAGTTTGAATTGAAATGTAGAATAATTTCTCCTTTGAGCTGTTTCCCCTAAAAATAACTCACCTTGGAATCGGTCACTCTGTCATTTTTGTGTACAGCCTAGCTTGGTGCGTAAGCAGTAGTTGACAAGCTTTTTCTGTAACAGACTAGAGAAGAAATATTTTAGGCTGTGTGGGCCACACACTGTGTGTGTGTGTATGTTTACAACCCTTTGAAAGTGTAGAAAGTGTTGATAATTTCAGTGGTGTATAGAACTGGTCCCAGGCTGGATTTGGCCCCTGGGTTCTAGTTTGTGCCTCCTGATCTAGAGTCTGATGATTGGGATAGATCCCCACCTCCATAATTGCTGACTGACTGTGTGGCATTGGCAAGTTATTGGATTCCCCTAGTCTTAACTTGGCTTATTAGAGTAAAAGCATATCGGTACTTTACCTGTTGCTTTGCAGCATATGCTGAGGAACAAAAGCTAGAACAAAGTGCTAGGTTATTGGCAGGAACCTTGGAACCAGGCAGACCTAAGTTCATTTCTACCACCTATCAGGTGTGTGACTTTGGGCCACTTACCTCATTACTCTGTGCCTTGAGAGGCTAAAGCTGCACAGTCCTTAGCACATGGTAGATACTTAATGCATGGTGGTTGCTGTTACTATTTTTGATGCATACTTGTTGGAAATTGTAAGTTGGTATTATCCTTCTCACACTGTGAATTGAGGCTTGATAAGCCTGGCAAAATAATTTCTAACATTTGTATTTTACAAAAGCTTTGAACAGCCAGCGTGAGGGACAAGGGCCAGTTGCCTTCTCTTAGGGAACTGCTGTAACTTGCCTTGTGTGTCTGTCTGCTGCCTCAGACATGTCTTACATGGAAATTCAGTGGTAGGTGAGCAGCTGTGTTTCTAGCTTTAAGAGAGAATTACCAGGCTAGAGCAGAAAGAAGAGATGAACAAATAGAAACCATCGGAGTAGTCTTCACCCTCCTTGCATTGTACTGTTTTTCACTGGCATTAGATGGGGCCATACAGCTGCTAAACTGTCCCGTTACTACAAAGTCTGTTGGGAATGGGGCTTGTATCATCCCAAGACTTGGTTCATTTAATACATTTATTGAATGTCAGTGTGGTGGAGATAGAAATGAACGCCTCATTTTTCCTGCCTTTAAAGAACACAGTGTGGTAGAGGAAATGAGGGATTCAAACTTGGGATGTGACGTGATCAGACTGCATTTGAGAAAGCTTGCTTTCTTCAAGCAGTGAGAGCACGTACTGTTTACACTGTCTGCCCACAAGGTTCATGTAAGCTGCACAGATTCCCTGCTTTATATATGATATTTTTTAAAAATTTATTTATTTATTTGAGGGCCGGTGCCACGGCTCAATAGGCTAATCCTCCGCCTAGCGGCGCCGGCACACCAGGTTCTAGTCCTGGTCGGGGCACCGGATTCTGTCCCGGTTGCCCCTCTTCCAGGCCAGCTTTCTGCTGTGGCCCGGGAGTGCAGTGGAGGATGGCCCAAGTGCTTGGGCCCTGCACCCCATGGGAGACCAGGAGAAGCACCTGGCTCCTGCCTTCAGATCAGCACGGTGCACCAGCCGCAGTGCACCGGCCGCGGCGGCCATTGGAGGGTGAACCAATGGCAAAGGAAGACCTTTCTCTCTGTCTCTCTCTCTCTCACTTTCCACTCTGCCTGTCAAAAAAATTATTTATTTATTTATTTATTTGAGAGGTAGAGTTACAGACAGAGAGAGAAAAAGACAGAGAAAGGTCTTCTATCCACTGGTTCAATCCCAAATGGCTGCAGTGGCCAGAGCAGAGCTGATCTGAAGCAAAGAACTTCTTCCAATCTCCCATGCAGGTGCAGGGGCCCGAGCACTTGGCCATTTTCCACTGTTTTCCCAGGCCATAAACAGAGAGCTGGATAGGAAGAGGAGCAGCCAGGATATGAACTAACGCCCATATAGAATGCCAGCGCCCCAGGCGGAAGCTTAGTCTACTGTGCGACAGCTCTAACCGCAAATTATACTCTTAAGACCAGAGGCATTTTAGGTAGAACAGTAGAGAAATAAATCCATGAAATCTTGGCCTTTAAGCAGCAGGAATATTTATTCTTTTCCTCGAGAAATTGGTAAAATATGGTGTTCCACTGATAAAAATAAAATGGCTACTTACTCTGTAGGTTTGCAATTGAAACTTCTTGATCCCAGCAAGATTCCTAAGGCCTCAATGACAAGTGGCTTGGTTCAGGAGTTCCAGCATGTAGTCCTGCCCTCAGTGACTCCCTTGGCGACCTTCGTCTGCACTCTGATGGCTGTGTTGGTAAGAACTCAACAGATGGTACTTGTTTTTTGAGTTTTCTTTGCTGTTCTTTTGTGTGGCTGAGTAAATTTCAACTCTCAGGCTTTTCAGATTGTAGGATAATCTCCATGGTTGTAATTCTTCTGCAGATTGAAGCCCTTCAATAACAATTCCTAGAATAACTTTGAACACTGTCAGGCAAGGTTACTGGTAAAGTCTCTGTGAGAGATTGCTGCTAGTGACTGTTAGACCATCTCTTCACCCTGGGGACAGGAAAAGAGAAAAGCCTGGGGAGGAGGGGAGGCATGGACCTTGCTGTGGAGAAAGAGGAAAATGACTGTACCACAGACATTCAGATTTTGTTCTGTTTCATCCTTGGCTAAATGGTCAAAGTTCCAAATGTTCTGGATGATGTATTTTGTCTTGGTGGTAATAATGAGCTGAAAGAGTCACCAACAGCTCTTTGAACATCAGAATCTAATCGGAGTCCAGTGCTGTTAAAGGCTTTATTCATAATCCTTAGTTATTGTGATGACCTCAGTGTTGTGATATAATTTAGAAGAATTCATTATAAGTGACTCACTTTGATTATTGCACTCGTATTTAATTTTGCTTTGCAATTGGCCCAAAGCTACTAGCAAAACACCTAATCCCACTTAGTTTCATGGCAATATTGATATGCAGGTAGTAAATCTCTGCTGTCCTACTTGTTCATGTGTTTTACCCGAAGTAACCTAGTGGTTAAGGTGCCCACGTCCTGCATCACAGACCTGAATCCCAACTTTTCTGCTAATGCAGATCCTGGGAGGCAGAGATGGTGGCTCAAATGATTTGGTCCCTGCTATCACCTACATTGAGTTCTCCGCCCCAGAGCTGAAGCCAGTAGGAGCTTGGGGAATGAACCAGTAGATGGGACATTTCTCTTTCTCTCAAATCTGAGTCTTGTAAGCTGCACATAGAAGGCCATGGTTTTATCGTCGATTATGCTCCAGGCTATAAAGCCAGATGCTTTCTTATTAATATAGTAACATCTAATTTATTAGCTCAAAAATATCTGTGAATTTTCTTAGTTTGATAATTAATTAAATAATTATGAAGAAGTAGTAAGTTGCTGCCCTGTATTATATCCCTAAAATTATCAATAATTTTTATTTTTGGTAAGTGGATTAATTCTAATGAGTTACATTTATGCTTTCAAATGCCTATTTTTTCTGAGTAGTTGCTGTTGACTTTCAGTGGAATGTGCACAGTGATGAGGTATTCCAGTTTAATGAAGAATTGTCTGGGATCTCTATTTCAGATGACACAAATTGTATTCACCTAAACACTGTTTGTATAAAGCTAATTTGAAATGATACTGAACTTTTATCTTTACCTATTGTTTCTAGCCCTCTGTTTTCTGTCTTTGGTTTAAACCCCAAGGGCCCAGAGGTTTTCTTCGATGTCTCATTCTTTGTGCCTTGAGCTCCTTTCTGTTTGGGTGGCATGTCCATGAAAAAGCAATACTCCTCGCCATTCTCCCGCTGAGGTAAGTAGACAGCTCAATTCGTTGGCATTTCTGGCAAGTTTTACAGCATCTTATTGTTCTCCATTTGCTCTGTCCCTGCTTGTCATTCTCAATAGAGCAGGCAAAGGTAAAGATATATGGGAACTGATTTCTACTAGGACAGGGCAGGGGTGCTTCACTTGGGATCCTTGGACCCATGAAGGCCCTGAGGTGCGCAGAAATGCATGTAGTGTTTCTGCACGTTTGGTAAGGGTGTGTACTGAGTAAGTACCATGCCACCAAGCTGTTACATGGTGTGGGAAAGCTCGGCTTTAGAGTCATCACATCTTTGAAAATAACGTTCTGTGGCTCCTTGTTAGGTGTTATTAGTCAAAGCAAGTGTTGATTCTGTTCTGGAATGATACCAAATGTTTGTACTAAACCACAGATTTTCTTTGTTTAATTATTGCTTTCTTTCTTTGGAGCCTCACAACTTATAAGATATTAGAAGAAGTTGGTATAATTTCATCTTAACATCCACAGGAGCTGGGACTCAGAAAGTTTAAGACTTAACCAAAGTCACACAGCTATCAAGTACTAGTTAGGCCTTTGTGGTTTTTTTTTTTTAATTTTTTAAAATTTTATTTGAGAGGTGGAGTTAAAGAGAGAGGTCTTCCATTCTGTGGTTCACTCCCCAAATGGCCTCAATGGCCAAAGCTGGGCTGATTCAAAGCCACACCAGGCAGCACCTCGTCCCATAGCATTCCTCTTTAAACAGTTACTCAGGAGCGCAAGATTCGTTTTTGGATATTTCCTCATTGAGTTGGCCCATTCTTTAAATTGTTAAAAGTTTCCTACTTAAATTAAAATAAGTATTCTCAACTAAGACTAAAAATAGATGCAGTTTTTTCCAGCTATTTGCAAGTATAATTTCAATTGTTGTTTTAAGAAGTTATTTTAAGATTTTTTTTCTTTTTAGCCTTTTGTCTGTAGAAAAAGCAGACGATGCTTCAATTTTTCTGATTCTGACCACAACAGGACATTTTTCCCTCTTCCCTCTGCTTTTCACAGCACCAGGTGAGCAGCTTCTTTTTTTCAAGGGATACATTTGATGATTGTGCCTCATGCACCCAGGCTTCCAGATCAATATGTCTGATTTAAATAACCTTAAACCATCTTGGAAAGTTAAACCCATTTTCTTAAATAAAATCATCAAGTTGCTCCTAATTCTAAGCGTCTTTAGATGTCACAAAAATACATGGTTAAGATCAAAAAGCATCATTAATACTAAACAGCTATGTCTATGCACTTACATTGCCTTAAGTATAATAAACCTTTCTCTTACCAGCTAAATTATCACTTTTGCTTTTTTTGTTGTTCTTTCAACAGAACTTCCCATTAAAATCTTACTCATGTTACTGTTTACCATCTATAGTATTTCCTCACTGAAGACTCTATTCAGGTAATTCAATTTAAATTACGTTTATAATTATATAAATTATAATTATATTTACTCTTGTGAAATGTTTACTACTAAGTAGTCAGATAAACCTTTAAAATTTATTTTTAAATAATAATGGCAATATAATGTTACAAAATAATTGGTAAATACAGAAATTACCCATCATCTCATCAGGACATAACAACAGGTTGTATCTTTAGTTTGGGGGATGTTTGAGTAGAACCACCTAGCATAAATTGAAATCTTACATGAAAACTAAACAGTGGAAATGTTAAATATTCATACAGATGCATTTCTATTTCTATTTGTAGAATTATGATGGAATTTTTTTCTCTTCTCAACTATGTGATATTATTTCTATAATTTTTAAATTATGTAATTGTTTTTTAAATTATATAATTAAATTCTATAATTTTTAAATTGCTTGTGGTTTATATCTGATTGTGTCCATAAAAACCCATATATATTAAAACTCAGTTATAACTACATGACTCAGCAGTTCCACTCCTAGCTATATGCACAGAAGAATTGAAGACAGGGACTCAGTAATATTCATTGTAACATTAACAGAGCCAAAAAATGAAAACCTCAGTGTCCATCAACAAATGAATGGCTAAATAAAAATGGTTTATTCATACAGTAGAATGTTAGCTAGAAAAAAAGAATGAAATTCTGGCACATGTTGTATATAACATGGATCATCTTTGAAAATATGTTAGGAGGAAGCTACACCCAAAAGGACAAATATTGTATGATTCCACTTAAACAAAATTGTAGAGGAGGCAAATTCATAGAAATAAAATAAATTAGAGGTAGATTTGAGGGGGAGATAGATGAATTATTATGAATGTTTCCATAATTTCTGTTTGGGGCGATGAAAATGTTTGAAAGTGGATAATGGTGATAATGGTATAATGTCATCTTAACATCCACAGGAGCTGGGCCTCCATTACCAATATATTTGATAAATGGCTAAAATGGTAAATTTTTGTTACATATGTTTTACCAAAATAAAAAGAATTTTGGGAGGCCAGTGTTGTGGCATAGCAGATTAAGCTGCATCTATGATGCTGGCAACCCTTATTGCTGCCAGTTTGTGTCCTGGCTGCTCCACTTCCAATCCAGATCCCTGCAAATGCACCTGGGAAAGCAGCAGAGGATGGCCCAGGTCCTTGGGCCCCTGCACCCACATGGGAGACCCAGAAGAAACTCCTAGCTCCTAGCTTCAGCCTGGCCCAGCCGTGGCTGTTAACGGCCATTTGGGGAGTGAACCAGCAGATAGAAGATCTCTCTCTCTCTGTCTCTGTCTTTCTATCTGTCTGTCTGTCTCTCTCTCTATCTCTATCTCCCCCTCCCTCCATTCCTCCCTCCCTCTCTGTAATTCTGACTTTCAAATAAATCTTTTTTAAAAAATAGCATTTTTAAGGGGCCAGTGTTGTGCCAAAGTAGGTAAGGCCACCACCTGGGATGCTGACCAATGTGAATGCCAGTTCATGTCCCAGCTGCTCCACTTCTGATTCAGCTCCCTGCTCATGGCCTGGGAAAAGCAGTGAAGGATGGTCCAAATGCTTGGGCCCCCACTACCCAGATGGGAGACTCCTATAAGTAGGCTTCTGGCTCCTGGCTTCAGCCTGGCCCAGCCCCGGTTGTTGTAACCATCTGGGTAGTAAACCAACAAATAGTAAATTCTCTCTCTCTTCTCTCTCTCTCTCTCTCTCTCTCTCTGTGTGTGTGTGTGTGTGTGTGTAACTCTGACTTTCCAGTAAATAAATAAATCTTGTGTGTGTGTGTGTGTGTATACAAGCACACATGTATACATGTATATATAAAAATATTTTAACATCCCAGTTACATATTATGTGTTGTGTTCTTACTCTAGAATCATGGCTGCCAGCACCTTCCCTCTTCCAAATGCAGAGCTGACTCTGAGCAGCTTCAGCTAAGTGACAGCCTAGTAGAAGATTAGGCAAATTTGGGTTCTTGGGATAAACATATTTTATAACTGTAAAATTTCATGCACTCTTTTGACTCCAGCCTTTGCTATAGTGCACCTGAAGACAGTGCAGATGGGAAAGTTTTAGCTGAGAAGTGTTTGCTAAACTAAGATGACTCATCTAAAATCAGACTTTTTTTTTTTTTTTTTTTCTTCAGAAAAGAAAAACCTCTTTTTAATTGGATGGAGACTTTCTACCTCCTAGGCCTGGGGCCTCTGGAAATCTGCTGTGAATTTTTATTCCCTTTTACCTCTTGGAAGCTGAAGTACCCTTTCATCCCCTTGTTACTGACCTCTGTGTATTGTGCCGTGGGCATCACATATTCTTGGTTGAAACTGTATGTTTCGGTATTGACTGGCCCTCCTGTTGGCAAAACAAAGAAAAAATGAATAATGGAACTGCTTGGATGTATGCCAAGCAATTATTTCATGGGAAATTAATTGGAACTTGAAGAAAGTTGCTGGTGGCATGAGCCATTTATTTTAGTAAGTATGTTTGAAGGGCCATTCTTTGAACTTGACCTTGCCCAGCCTAGCAACCCAATTGTCACCATGGTGAGAAGCCACTTACCCTCCACAAGCAATGAAACACATCTGAAAAAAAATCTCACTTTCCTCTGTTAAAATTATCTGAGACCATTCAGACTGCTGTGCTTACTCAAGGCAGTGAGTTTGAGCAACAGCATAATTATTTTTAGCCTGTGCTGACCATTGTCAGGATATAAAGCATAATTGGACTGCTATGCTGAAGAAAATATAAATAAAATGTTCTTTTGTATTTCTGTACAAAGTATCTTTGGATTATTACCAGGTACATTTTCCTGTTGGCATACACACAGGCAGTATCCTGTCCCCATTCTGGACACCTTGTTCCAGGAGACTTTCTCATTGACATTATACAATGACAATACTCAAAGCCGGAAGTAGTATTCTGTGTAAACACTGGGCAGGCAGCAGAGACTGCAAACCACAGCTACTCTTACTTGGAGAATATATCTTGTTTATGCTAAAATCAGGCACTACAGTCTTGATAAAGGAGTGACTTGTCCTCTTGTCCTCTCTCTTTCTTAAGAGAACTGTACACTATCTAGGACTTCAGTTTGCCTAGTATCTGCTACAAAGTCGGCCAACATTTTTCTAGCCTGCACTAGCAACTGTATTTTAAGAAAATATGAGGTCGGCTGGCGCTGTGGCTCACTAGGCTAATCCTCCGCCTTGCGGTGCCGGCACACCGGGTTCTAGTCCTGGTCGGGGTGCCGGATTCTGTCCCGGTTGCCCCTCTTCCAGGCCAGCTCTCTGCTGTGGCCAGGGAGTGCAGTGGAGGATGGCCAAGTGCTTGGGCCCTGCACCCCATGGGAGACCAGGAGAAGTACCTGGCTCCTGCCATTGGATCAGCGCAGTGCACCGGCTGCAGCGCACCGGCCACGGCAGCCATTGGAGGGTGAACCAACGGCAAAGGAAGACCTTTTTCTCTGTGTCTCTCTTGCACTGTTCACTCTGCCTGTCAAAAAAAAAAAAAAGAAAAAAAAAAAAGAAAAATATGAGGTCAGTGACATCCTTGTATGTTAATCCAGCTTTTCTATCTCTTGAATCTGCCCCCACTTCTTTTGAGCCTATTATTGCAATGATAAAGGTGGGGATTCTTTAAGGGTGTGACCTCTCTAGTCTACTGTCCTTGTCACAATCTCCCGTTTTGCCCAGGTTCCTGCTGTGCCATACTGTGTACCTCTTCTTCTTTCATGCGTGCTGATCCCGCTCCTCCCTGCTGACTTTTCTGCTCTGTCTTCTGATCATAGGTACTTCCCACTGCTATGGCTATGAATGCAAAAGCACCACAACACTGATTAGTAGTAGGGGTCCTAGGTCTGTGGTGCAGTAGGTTAAGGCACTTCCTGTGACAGTAGCACCCTATGAGTGCTGCTCTGTTTCCAATCTGGCTCCCTGCTTATGTGCCTGGGAAAGTAGCAGAAGATAGCCCAAGTGTTTGGGCTGCTGCCTCCCATGTGGGAGACACAGATGTTGTTCTGGGCTCCTGGCATTGGCTTGGCCCGCCCTGGCCATTGTAGCCATTTGGGCAGTGAACCAGCAGGTGGAAGATGCCTTTCAGATAAAAATAAATCTTAAAAAAAAAGAAAGAAAAGGAGGGGTCATTTTTTGATTGTAAATCCTGCCTCCATTTTTTTTTAATCATTATACAACTTGTTTAACCATTCTTTGCCTTAATACTCTCATCTCTAAAATGATAACATAAAAGGTTTAGAACCCTACAATGTTTTGTTTTAAAGATGTATTCATTTGTTTGAAAGGCAGAGTGACAGATTTCTGTCCACTGGTTCACTCCTCAAATGACCAAAATAGCCAGGTGTGGGCCAGGCTGAAACCAAGAGCCAGGAACTCCATTTGAGTCTTCCACATGGGTGGCAAGGAACTAAGCAGTTTGGGCCATCATCTGCTGCATCCCAGGATGTGCTTAGCAGGAAGCTGAATCGGAAGCAGAATAGCCAGGACTTGCTGGCTGGCATTGTGGTGCAGTAGGTTAAACTGCCCCCACATCCTATATGAGCACCAATTCAAGTCCCGGTTGTTCTACATCTGATCCAACTCCCTACTAATGCACCCAGAAAGGCAGCAGAAGACCTGGATGGAATTCCTGGCTCCTGGCCCAAACCATTGTAGCCATTTGGTGAGTGAACCAGCAGATCTGGAAGAGCTCTGTCTCCTGTATTTGTCACTCTGCCTTTCAAATAAATAAATCTTTAAAGGGGTTGGGGGGTATGTGTGGTCTAGTAGATTGAGCCATTGCTTGCAACACTAGGATCCCATATGAGTGTCCATTTAAGTACCAGCTACTCTACTTCTGATCCAGTTCCCTGGTAATGTGCCTGGGAAAGCAGTGGAACATGGTCCAAGTGCTTGGCCCCTGCCACCCATGTGGGAGACCTAGATGAAAATCTGGGCTCCTGGGTTTGGCCTAGCCAACCACAACTGTTGTGACCTTTTGGGGAGTGAACCAACAGATGAATATCTGTCTCTCCTAATCTCTCTGACCCTTTGACTTTAAAATAAAGTAAGTAAAGAATAAATCATTAAAAAGTAAAAGTCGCAGACTTGAACACAGGCCATAAATAAAACCTAATGAATAGAGGCCAGTGCTGTGGCATAGTATGGGTGCTGCTTTGAGTCCTGGCTGCTCCTCTTCTGATCCAGCTCTCTGCTATGGCCTGGGAAAGCAGTAGAAGATGGCCCAAATGCTTGGGCCCCTTTATCCACGTGGGAGACCCAGAAGAAGCTCCTGGCTCCTAGCTTCAAATCAGCTGATCTCTGGCCATTGTGGCCATTTGGGTAGTGAACCAGCAAATGGAAGAATCTCTCTCTTTCTCTCTCTCTCTGTAACTCTGCCTCTCAAATAAATAAATATTTTAAAAAACGAATGAATAAAACCTAAATGTCACTAGTGTAAGCTTTAATACTAAGGGCCCAGCATAGTTCCTCACATCTTTGCCAATTTTCATACAAGCAACAAAAGAGATGAGATCTTGGCATGTGACTGGAGTTTTTACTTCAGCATATGGATTCTGGCTGCTGTGAAAGTGATGTGACGTCAACTGGAAGAGTGTATCTGGTTCAAGGATTTCCAGAATGTTCTATAGAGTACAAGAGCTTCAGAGGCTCTGGGCCTGTCCCATTTCCTACCAGTGTAAATACATTTGGTCTGTTTCATATATTAGGGCTTATATTTGTTTTCATTTGACTTCAAGTTTCAATGTCCAAAGAGTCTTAAACAGTTCAACCCCTTGTATTATCAGAAGGGAAATGACTTCAGACACTGAGGAATACCTTGGTGCCAACACACAGTAGAACCCAGACTTCCTGCCTGGTGTCCAGGATTTTTTTTTCCAAGTAATATACTTTGTGTTTGTTTTAAAACTGCAGAGACGTGCGTATATTTCAACAAAGTCCTAGGTTTCAACAGATACCAAATAAATTAAGGTACTATTTCAAAATGTTTTGAAAACTAGAATTGAGAATAAGACAAGATTACTATTAAAAAAAAAAAAACTTTAAAAAATTTTGTTTACTTACTTATTAGAGAAATCCCATCTGCTGGTCCACTCCTCAAAAACCAGTCATCTAAGAACTAAATCCAGGTCAAAATTTTAAAAATAAAAGGGGCATAGTGGGTTAGGACACCACTTGGGACACTTACGTCCAATATCAGTGCCTGATTAGAGTACTGCCTACTCTGCACTTTCCATCCAGCTTCCTGCCTGGAAGGCAATGGATACTGGCCCAAGTACTTGGGTCTCTGCCACCCTCGTAAGAGACCTGGATGGAATTCCTGGCTTCAGCCTGGCCTATTCCTGGCTGTTGCAGCCATCCAATGTATAAACCAGCAAATGGAAGATTATTTCTTCCTCTCTCTTTCTCTTTTCAAATAAATCAATAAATCTTGCTGAAAAAAAAAATTCAAATAAGGAGCAGGCATGTAGCCTGGCCATTAAGATGCCCATGCTCCTCATCAGCATTCCCGGGTTAGATTCCTGCTATTACAGACCCTGGGAAGCAGCAGTGTTAGCTCAAGTAACTGGATCCCTGTGGTGTACATGGGAGACCTGGATTGCATTCCTGGCTCCTTGCTCCTGTCCAGGCAGGCATTGCAGGCATCTGGGGAGTAAGTCAGTGGGTGGGAGTTCTCTCTGACTCCTAAATATTTAATAAAAATTTTTAAATATATAACTCATTTTTCACCCACTAATAAATATGCAATGTAACAAAATTTACAGTAAAACAGGTGGGTAAAGGATCAGCATTGTGGCACAGCAGGTTAAGCCTCTACTTGGAACACCCATGAGTTCCAGTTTGAGTCCTGGCTGCCTGACTCCTCGTCCAGCTTCCTGCTAATACCCATGGGAACGCAGAAGAAGACAGCCCAAGTACTTTGGCCCTTGCTATCAATGTGGGAGATCCAGATGGGGTACCGGGCTCCTGGCTTCAGCCTAGCCAAGCCACAGGTATTATGGCCATTAAGAAGTCAACCAACAGATGGAAGATTCCTTCTCCCCCCCCACATACTCCCTCCCTTTCTCTCTAACTCTGCCATTCAAATAAAATAAATCTTAAAAAAAAGAAAAAAGAAAAGGTGGGTGAGACTTGGTGTTCTCGATCATCCAAGTGATGGGTAGAACCAGAATTGGATGAGCTGCTAAGAAGTTGAGCCATGTGGTTTCTCTGTTGATGACTGTATCTTTGAAATCTTATGAAGGAAGTACTTCAGAATCAGAATCATCCCCTCTTATGCAGCTTCTGTTTGCAATTATGGGAGAAAAAAAGTTCAATAAAAAAAAAATAGCTCCTTCCATGTCATGTTGCTATCTCCAGACCTCTTGTGGAGGTGAACCCTGTTCTCAGAGGCAGCTGGTGTTAATCCTGGTAACCCCAAGGAGGAAACAGCTGGATAAGCTCAGCCTTGGTACTGGTGGCCACCACGTCCTTGAAGATCCAGACAGCCAATGTCACAAATAAGAATGAGCCCAAGTCCATGAATTCTTGGGTCCTCATTGGAACCTCAACACAGCTATTGAGCTGTGGTGAAGTCAGCTATGGAGACCACCTTCTGCAAGTACAGCCATGTGACCAGCTGTTCTGAGCACAAGGGCTATGCCTTTGTTCAGTAAGCCAACGAGTGCCATACCTAGGCAGCTGTGCTGGGAAACAATGGGCAAGTGCTGGCTGGGCAAACACTGGACATCAACATGGCAGAAGAGCCCAAACCCAACA